CCCCCCCCCCCCCCCCCCCCATAACTTTTTATTACTCCTGGATAAGATCAAAGACTAATTAATATCATTTTTTCTTTTTAATCTTATATTTTCCAGATTTTTCTCACCAAATTTGGATATCTCATGGGATTTTTTTGTTATCCTTTCAGATGATCATGTATATTCATCTTTTAGGAGTTCAACGTCCTCATTTGCATGCTTCCGAGTATTTAATTCTAGTACTATTGGTAACCGTTTGGATTGCATGGATTTTGATGTCACCTTAGGTAAAAACTCATTGGAACGAGATTACGTAACCGACCATCGTATAAAAAATGGAAAGTAACGTGGAATCCTCGTCGGACATACTTAGATTATGTTTATATATATGAAATGTTAATTTGATTCAGTATGGTGAATGGTTTAGGAATAATAAAGTTGGGAGTACTTCTTAAGAGTGTACTTGCAACTATTAATGCAATGTGTGAGTAAGTTGTAGTACAAAAATTCATGAAGGTTGTACAAATTTCATTATCTCTGTACTGCGGCTGCATATCATACGAGTATTATTAGCATAGTTTTATCAATAATATAAAAAGGTGTTAAACATATTTTATGTAAAAATATATATATATTTATTCAAATTGCAATACACAGGAGATTGTGGGTATACAGTTATCAAGGTTGGGCCGGCCCGGTTAATTAGTCAGGCTTCAAATAGCTTTGGGCCGGCCCATTTAGTTTGAACACATTCATTGAATAGAGATTTTAGAAATAAAAAATTAAAATTGGTAAAATAATAATAATCAAAAGAAAAGGAAGAAGGAAGAATTTATGAGACGGTTTTATTCTATTTTCTTTTCTTGCAAGATATTCAACAATTCACGTAGAGTAGTAGTTGGAATGTGTGATTTTCATAAATTATTCAGATCATATGATACGCATTTCATTTAATACTCACTCAACAACACTGAGGACTTTCATGTCAAAGCAACAAGAACAGGTAAAACAAAGAGGAGGGAGAATGGTTAAATTAATAAGAGGGTCGAAGAGTATTTTGTATAATTTAATAAAAAAACGAACATGTATGTAGTAATTAAAAAAGAGGTATTTGAATGTGGAAAAGTGGTCCAATTTGAGGAAGGTGAAGGGGGGGTTTGGTCTTTGGAGGAGGCAAAAGTTGTGAAGGAGAGTAAGTTTGTCAGTTTGCTACAACTTTTATAATTCTTTACATATATATATATTTTATATGCCTATTGCATTTTACAATTTTAAAGCAATGATTCTTTCTTCAACTTGTTCATTTTTTTTCCTTCCTTTTAATTTCTTTTTTTAAAAAATGAGTAACAGATAATTTATAAATTTAGGAATCTGAAATCATTTTATAGCATAGAATTAGATTTTTGAAATCTTCCAAAATTAGAAATATAATAAAATGAAGCATAAACAAAATAGGTGCACAAAAGGAAAGGATTGGAATTGATAATCAAGTGCAAAATACACTAATTTCAAATCTATTAGCATCCTTTAAAATCAATCAAGTGAATAAATGATTCTTCAGATTTGTGCCAAATGGAAAATAAATAAAGGCTTAATTTTGTGTATATATATATATAATTAGATCAGGCAATTAGGTTGAAAGAAAGATTCAATTTTTTTTTCTCTTTTTATACAATTAAAAGGAAGAAGAAAAAAAGGAAATGTGTTGGTTACAATGCTCCGACTATCCTTTGTTTTTTGGTACATTGAAAAGCGAGAAATTCCAATTCTCTCCTCTTCTCGCCGCACCCAGTGTTTGGCGAAGAAGCTTTGACGATGTCAACTCCGAAGAGTCGGACGATGTGAACTGGGTTCATGTTGGAGTCGGTTGTGGGCGACGCCTTTCTGGACTTCCATTCGATGTAAAGCTGTTTGTCCTGTCCGGGAGATTTGAGGAAGCTCACAATGTCACCGGCTTTCAGATTCTTTTCTTTCACGAACCGGCTCCACCCTTTGGTTAGCACGTAGCTTTGGCTACTATTCCAATACGAGTAACGGAACCGCCACACTTTGCCTCCTCCGTCCTCGAAGTTCAACAATAGACCTTTCGAGGAAGCGGTGGAACCGGTTTGGAGAGGGAAGTTTTTCTCGGCGTGTTGTTTTGGGATGACGAGACGGTTCAATTTTCCTACATCGCTTGGGGTCACCGCTTTTTCGAATAGAAGTTCGCGAGCGTCAGAATCCGACCCGGACAACGAACGGTTATGTTTGCGATCTAAACCGGATAACCCGGCGTTTCGTTTGCTTTGATGGAGCTCGTGTAGGTAGGTGTGCTTACGTAGCATGTCCACGATCTCTGCCTTGGAATGGGAGTTGAGGAAGGCCGATACGTCGTCGTCGTCGTCGTCGTCGTCCTCCTCCTCCTCTTCTTCTTTAAAATTGGTGACAGCGTCACGGCCGCGGAAGCGTTGGGCGGCCACATCGTATGCACGTGCTGCTTCTTCCTCTTCGTTGAAAGTCCCCAACCATACTCTCTGGTGCTTCTCGTAAATCTGTGCCCCCCAGCGGCCGTTGGGCTGTGGGACCACTCCTTTGAAACGGGAGGAGGGCAGTTTCCGTGACTCTGCCTCGACGCCGCATGAGTCGGAGTCGAGAACGACACTGGTGAAGCCACTCCCGACGCGGCAGAGACTAGTCTCCGGCGGTGGAGATTTGAGAGGGGGGGAATTTGTGGAAGTGGTTTGGTCAATGCAAATCCCGTCCATGGGTATGTAGTGAATGGGAAACTGAAGGAGAGAAAGGTAAAAGGGGAGAATGGGAATGAAGTGGAATGGGGCGTTGAGGCGAGGGGGGAGGGTGGATTTATAGGGTGGACTTCAACAAAAAGAAAAAAAAAAAGGATCGAGAAGATGATAGGAAAATAAAATAAATAAAGAAAGAGAGTGGATATTTATGGAAAAATATGGGTCAACTGTAGGGGGAGGGGAGAAGTGGGGGCGAGCAAGTTGATGGGGTTCACATGAGACCCTGGACCGTGTTTTCCCTTTAGTAGTTCATCCCCCCTGGAATTTGTTTAATTAAAATATTTCCCCATGTGGAATGCATCTTATCTCATTCTCTGCTTCTTCTTCTTCTTCCTCCTCCTCCTCCTCTTCTTCCATCAATATCTGCTCTGTGCTTTTGTGGTTACTACCATTCACAGTAATTACCTCTTTAAATAATAATATTATTAACATTAATTTTATTTTATATAATTATATTATATGCGAAAATAAAAAAGGAAAATAGGAAGCGTCCAAGTGTCGGTAGAAGGAGAAAGAAAGTATTTAGTTCCCACTAGGATGGGGAAGTGGGCCCTTGAGTTTCACACGGATTGGATTTCCATCCCACACCCTCTCCATACAAATCCACTAACCTCCAAACGAACCCCTAATTCCACCGTGTCATCCTCTTATTCGTTTCTCCTTGTTGCCTAGGTTCATCTTAGTCACCCACCAGATTCCCCCCACATTTTTTTTTTTTTTTTTTCATTTTTCACAAAAACAAATTTAATTTAAGGAACAAAAAACATCCCCATTCTATTATTTCCAGCCCAGCGCTGACATGTCATCCCCTCGACTCAACTAAGCTTATCTTTGCATCACCTCCAATAATTCCCCTTCTCCCCCAATCTCCACCGTCCCTCCTTCCTCTCAATCAACGGCCCTCCACCGTCTCGATCCATTGGTTTCGCAGGCCCCACTCCAACGCGCGAATGAATCCTTTTATATACATAAATTGGCTGATGTATGTACGGAAATGTCCTGGGTTTTCCCCTGGGCCCCACACCTGCATTTTTTTTTTTTTTTTTATAAATATAATTCATTATTAAATCCCGGCGTCCTTGTGACTCACGGTTGGGGTGTCACTCAAATTTAAGCTTCCTATTGCCCCTTCTCTTTTAGGTACTCCGCTCTGTATTTTTGTTTCTTCAACTATCCACATTATTTATTTCGAACACTGTTCTTCCATCCAATCGAACCGAACCATACCATACCATACCAATAAATCATATGACTCATTTCTAAAATGTTAATATCTTAAAGAGAAAAAAGATAATACACTTTTTGTAATGTACAATTAATTAATTAATTGAATAGTTGTAATATCGTATATGAACCCATGTAAAATTAATTAATTAATTGACTAAGTTTTTAGTGGAATTTCCGAAGCGCTTCACTTTATTGGATGCCTTTAATTCATTGTGGTTTTTTGAGAGCCCAACTTGTGCTCACCAAGTAGCTTTTCAA